CCCGCACACCGGGCGAGGTTATTAACATCTCCTAGCCACCGTGGTGCCTGATGCTGGCGAAATTCCCAGTTGTTCATAGGCAAGGATCGTGTTGGTACGGACCTGTGTGTGTTCACGCGTCCTTCTTTAAACTCTCTCTGCTGGACATCTGTGGAAAAAAAATGCTTCATAGTTAATCGGATCTATAAATAAATGATCTGATTTCTCTCTCATCTCGACCGCGTGGCAGCCGTAACGCTCCACGTGTGAAGGGGGTCACGTGGTACCTATGCAAATAACCCCCCCTTCCCTAGACCACGTGGTTTCTTCCTCGTTCCACGTGTGAAGGGGGTCACGTGGCCTCTATGGAAATAACCCCCCCACTCCCGCATAGAGCTACAATTTCACTGAAACATTTTTTTTTTAATTTTCGACAAGGTGTAAGACCCCTACTGAGCGATTCGCTTTTTTTTTACTGAAACCCTGACCTGGCAAAATCGCGAATGATAGCAGCTCAATGTAAGTGGCTGATATTGTCATCGCCATCACGGTGTGGAAATTCATAGCAGCAGTCAAATTATCTCTCTCTCTAGAGAGAGAGAGAGAGAGACGCGTGGTGATGTCGTTGATTGTAAATGTGGAGGGGAAAAGCCGGAAGAACCGGAGAGAAAAACATTCTACACGAACACCCATCAGGGTCGGGGATGGAACCCACGACCTCCTGTATACCAGGCGAGGTTGTTAACATCTCACAGGGTACGGGATCGAACCCACGACCTGCTGCTAACGAGGCGAGGTAGTTAACATCTCACAGGGTCCGGGATCGAACCCAGGACCTCCTGTATACCAGGCGAGGTAGTTAACATCTCACAGGGTCCGGGATCGAACCCACGACCTCCTGCATACCAGGCGAGGTAGTTAACATCTCGCAGGGTCTGGAATCAAACCCACGACCTCCTGCACACCAGGCGAGGTAGTTAACATCTCGCAGGATCGGGCATCGAACCCACGACCTCCTGCATACCAGGCGAGGTAGTTAACATCTCAAAGGGTCCGGGATCGAACCCACGACCTCCTGCATACCAGGCGAGGTAGTGAACATCTCACAGGGTCTGGAATCAAACCCACGACCTCCTGCACACCAGGCGAGGTAGTTAACATCTCACAGGGTCCGGGATCGAACCCACGACCTCCTGCATACCAGCCGAGGTAGTTAACATATCGCAGGGTCTGGGATCGAACCCACGACCTCCTGCGGACCAGACGAGGTAGTTAACATCTCGCAGGGTCAGGAATCGAACCCACGACCTCCTGTATACCAGGCAAGGTAGTTAACATCTCGCAGGGTCTGGAATCGAACCCTCGACCTCCTGCATACCAGGCGAGGTAGTTAACATCTCACAGGGTCCGGCATCGAACCCACGTCCTCCTGCATACCAGGCGAGGTAGTTAACATCTCACAGGGTCCGGGAACGAACGCACGACCTACTGCATACCAGGCGAGGTAGTTAACATCACACAGGGTCTGGGATCGAACCCACGACCTCCTGCATACCAGGCGAGGTAGTTAACATCTCACAGGGTCCGGGATCGAACCCACGACCTCCTGCATACCAGGCGAGGTAGTTAACATCTCGCAGGGTCTGGGATCGAACCCACGACCTCCTGCAAACCAGGCGAGGTAGTTAACATCTCGCAGGGTCCGGGATCGATCCCAGGACCTCCTGCATACCAGGCGAGGTATTTAACATCTCACAGGGTCAGACATCGAACCCACGACCTCCTGCATACCAGGCGAGGTATTTAACATCTCACAGGGTCAGACATCGAACCCACGACCTCCCGCATACCAGGCGAGGTAGTTAACATCTCACAGGGTCCTGGATGTAACCCATAACCTCCTGCACACCGGGCGAGGTTGTTAACATCTCCTAGCCACCGTGGTGCCTGATGCTGGCGACATGCCCAGTTGTTCATAGGCAAGGATCGTGTTGGTACGGACCTGTGTGTGTTCACGGTCCTTCTTTAAACTCTCTCTGCTGGACATCTGTGGAAAAAAATGCTTCATAGTTAATCTGATCTATAAATAAATGCTCTGATTTCTCTCTCATCTCGACGGCGTGGTAGCCTAAACGCCCCACGTGTGAAGGGGGTCACGTGGTACCTATGCAAATAACCCCTCCTTCCCTAGACCACGTGGTTTCTTCCTCGTTCCACGTGTGAAGGGGGTCACGTGGCCTCTATGGAAATAACCCCCCCACTCCCGCATAGAGCTTCAATTTCACTGAAACATTTTTTTTTTAATTTTCGACAAGGTGTAAGACCCCTACTGAGCGATTCGCTTATTTTTCTGAAACCCTGACCTGGCAAAATCGCGAATGATAGCAGCTCAATGTAAGTGGCTGATATTGTCATCGCCATCATGGTGTGGAAATTCATAGCAGCAGTCAAATTATCTCTCTGTCTCGAGAGAGAGAGAGAGACGCGTGGTGATGTCGTTGATTGTAAATGTGGAGGGGAAAAGCCGGAAGAACCGGAGAGAAAAACATTCTACACGAACACCCATCAGGGTCGGGGATGGAACCCACGACCTCCTGTATACCAGGCGAGGTAGTTAACATATCGCAGGGTCTGGGATCGAACCCACGACCTCCTGCATACCAGGCGAGGTAGTTAACATCTCGCAGGGTCTGGGATCGAACCCACGACCTCCTGCATACCAGGCGAGGTAGTTAACATCTCGCAGGGTCTGGGATCGAACCCACGACCTCCAGTATACCAGGCGAGGTAGTTAACATCTCGCAGGGTCCGGGATCGAACCCACGACCTCCTGCATACCAGGCGAGGTAGTTAACATCTCGCAGGGTCTGGAATCAAACCCACGAACTCCTGCACACCAGGCGAGATAGTTAACATCTCGCAGGATCGGGCATCGAACCCACGACCTCCTGCATACCAGGCGAGGTAGTTAACATCTCAAAGGGTCCGGGATCGAACCCACGACCTCCTGCATACCAGGCGAGGTAGTGAACATCTCACAGGGTCTGGAATCAAACCCACGACCTCCTGCACACCAGGCGAGGTAGTTAACATCTCACAGGGTCCGGGATCGAACCCACGACCTCCTGCATACCAGCCGAGGTAGTTAACATATCGCAGGGTCTGGGATCGAACCCACGACCTCCTGCGGACCAGGCGAGGTAGTTAACATCTCGCAGGGTCTGGAATCGAACCCACGACCTCCTGCATACCAGGCAAGGTAGTTAACATCTCACAGGGTCTGGCATCGAACCCACGACCTCCTGCACACCAGGCGAGGTAGTTAACATCTCGCAGGGTCCGGGATCGAACCCACAACCTCTTGTACACCAGGCGAGGTTGTTAACATCTCACAGGGTCCGGGATCGAACCCACGACCTCCTGCACACCTGGCGAGGTTGTTAACATCTCGCAGGGTCAGGCATCGAACCCACGACCTCCTGCATACCAGGCGAGGTAGTTAACATCTCACAGGGTCCGGGATCGAACCCACGACCTCCTGCATACCAGGCGAGGTAGTCAACACCTCACAGGGTCAGGCATCAAACCCACGACCTCCTGCACACCAGGCGAGGTAGTTAACATCTCACAGGGTCTGGAATCGAACCCACAACCTCCTGCACACCAGCGAGGTAGTTAACATCTCACAGGGTCCGGGATCGAACCCACAACCTCCTGCACACCAGTCGAGGTAGTCAACATCTCACAGGGTCCGGGATCGAACTCACGACCTCCTGCATACCAGGCGAGGTAGTTAACATCTCGCAAGGTCCGGGATCGAACCCACGACCTCCTGTAAACCAGGCGAGGTAGTCAACATCTCACAGGGTCCGGGATCGAACCCACGACCTCCTGCATACCAGGCTATGTTGTTAACATCTCGCAGCGTCCGGGATCGAACCCACGACCTCCCGCACACCGGGCGAGGTTATTAACATCTCCTAGCCACCGTGGTGCCTGATGCTGGCGAAATTCCCAGTTGTTCATAGGCAAGGATCGTGTTGGTACGGACCTGTGTGTGTTCACGCGTCCTTCTTTAAACTCTCTCTGCTGGACATCTGTGGAAAAAAAAATGCGTCATAGTTAATCTGATCTATAAATAAATGATCTGATTTCTCTCTCATCTCGACGGCGTAGCAGCCTAAACGCCCCACGTGTGAAGGGGGTCACGTGGTACCTATGCAAATAACCCCCCCCCTTCCCTAGACCACGTGGTTTCTTCCTCGTTCCACGTGTGAAGGGGGTCACGTGGCCTCTATGGAAATAACCCCCACTCCTCCCGCATAGAGCTTCAATTTCACTGAAACAATTTTTTTAAAAAATTTCGACAAGGTGTAAGACCCCTACTGAGCGATTCGCTTTTTTTTTACTGAAACCCTGATCTGGCAAAATCGCGAATGATAGCAGCTCAATGTAAGTGGCTGATATTGTCATCGCCATCACGGTGTGGAAATTCATAGCAGCAGTCAAATTATCTCTCTGTCTCGAGAGAGAGAGAGATACGCGTGGTGATGTCGTTGATTGTAAACGTGGAGGGGAAAAGCCGGAAGAACCGGAGAGAAAAACATTCTACACGAACACCCATCAGGGTCGGGGATGGAACCCACGACCTCCTGTATACCAGGCGAGGTAGTAAACATCTCACAGGGTCCGGCATCGAACCCACGACCTCCTGCATACCAGGCGAAGTAGTTAACATCTCACAGGGTCAGGCATAAAACCCAGGACCTCCTGCATACCAGGCGAGGTAGTTGACATCTCGCAGGGTCAGGCATCGAACCCACGACCTCCTGCACACCAGGCGAGGTTGTTAACATCTCGCAGGGTCGGGGATCGAACCCACGACCTCCTGCATACCGGGCGAGGTAGTTAACATTTCACAGGGTCGGGGATCGAACCCACTACCTCCTGCATACCAGGCGAGGTAGTTAACATCTCGCCACTGACCATTGCCCCGATCTCTCTGTCACTCTGCCCCCCAGGTCACGTGGCCGCTCCCCCGCCCACGTGTCCGTGCCAGCTGGGGTCACCGCGGGGTCACGCGGCCGTGCCGTCTCGCTTCAATCTCAGCAAGATCCGGCGCGCGCGCGTCACGTGTCCCAGCGCGGGCTGCCCCCTGCAGATCGTGTGAGCATCAGCAGGAGCGTCATCGTCATCATCATCAGCAGGAGCGTCATCGTCATCAGCAGCAGTAGCGTCATCATCATCGTCATCATCATCGTCAGCAGGAGCGTCATCATCAGCAGTATCGTCATCATCAACAGTAGCGTCATCATCAGCAGTAGCGTCATCATCTGCAGTAGCGTCATCATCATCAGCAGCAGTAGCGTCATCAGCAGCAGTAGCGTCATCATCATCATCAGCAGTAGCGTCATCACCAGCAGTAGCGTCATCATCATCATCATCAGCAGCAGTAGCGTCATCATCAGCAGCAGTAGCGTCATCATCAGCAGTAGCGTCATCATCATCAGCAGCAGTAGCGTCATCATCAGCAGTAGCATCATCATCATCATCAGCAGTAGGGTCATCATCAGCAGTAGCGTCATGATCAGCAGTAGCATCATCATCAGCAGCAGTAGCGTCATCATCAGCAGTAGCATCATCACCATCAGTAGCGTCATCATCATCAGCAGTAGCGTCATCATCAGCAGTAGCATCATCATCAGCAGTAGCGTCATCATCAGCAGTAGCGTCATCATCATCATCAGCAGTAGGGTCATCATCAGCAGTAGCGTCATCATCAGCAGTAGCGTCATCATCATCATCATTAGTAGCGTCATCATCAGCAGTAGCGTCATCATCAGCAGTAGCGTCATCATCAGCAGTAGCATCATCATCATCAGCAGTAGGGTCATCATCAGCAGTAGCGTCATCATCAGCAGTAGCGTCATCATCATCAGCAGCAGTAGCGTCATCAGCAGCAGTAGCGTCATCATCAGCAGCAGTAGCGTCATCAGCAGCAGTAGCGTCATCATCATCATCATCAGCAGTAGCGTCATCACCAGCAGTAGCGTCATCATCATCATCAGCAGCAGCAGTAGCGTCATCATCAGCAGCAGTAGCGTCATCATCAGCAGTAGCGTCATCATCATCAGCAGCAGTAGCGTCATCATCAGCAGTAGCATCATCATCATCATCAGCAGTAGGGTCATCATCAGCAGTAGCGTCATGATCAGCAGTAGCATCATCATCAGCAGCAGTAGCGTCATCATCAGCAGTAGCATCATCACCATCAGTAGCGTCATCATCATCATCAGCAGTAGCGTCATCATCATCATCAGCAGTAGCGTCATCATCATCATCAGCAGTAGCGTCATCATCAGCAGTAGCGTCATCATCATCATCAGCAGCAGTAGGGTCATCATCAGCAGTAGCGCCATCATCAGCAGTAGCGTCATCATCATCATCATTAGTAGCGTCATCATCAGCAGTAGCGTCATCATCAGCAGTAGCGTCATCATCAGCAGTAGCGTCATCATCAGCAGTAGCATCATCATCATCAGCAGTAGGGTCATCATCAGCAGTAGCGTCATCATCAGCAGTAGCGTCATCATCAGCAGTAGCATCATCATCAGCAGTAGCATCATCATCATCAGCAGCAGTAGCGTCATCATCAGCAGTAGGGTCATCATCAGCAGTAGCGTCATCACCATCAGTAGCGTCATCACCATCAGTAGCATCATCATCAGCAGTAGCATCATCATCAGCAGTAGCATCATCATCATCAGCAGTAGCGTCATCATCAGCAGTAGCATCATCATCAGCAGCAGTAGCGTCATCACCAGCAGTAGCGTCATCATCATCATCAGCAGTAGCGTCATCATCAGCAGTAGCATCATCACCATCAGCAGTAGCGTCATCATAAGAATTAGCATCATCATCAGCAGCAATAGCGTCATCATCAGCAGGAGCGTCATCATCAGCAGTAGCATCATCATCATCATCAGCAGTAGAGTCATCATCATCATCAGCAGCAATAGCGTCATCATCAGCAGGAGCGTCATCATCGTCAGCAGTAGCATCATCATCAGCAGTAGCATCATCAGCAGCAGTAGCGTCATCATCAGCAGTAGCGTCATCATCAGCAGTAGCGTCATCATCATTAGTAGCGTCATCATCATCAGCAGAAGCGTCATCATCAGCAGTAGCGTCATCATCATCAGCAATAGCACATGGTAGAAGGGATTGACATGGAACAGATGGAGATTAGTCCACACACACACCCACGTGGTAGAAGGGATCGAGATGGAACAGATGGAGATTAGTCCACACACACACCACGTGGTAGAAGGGAGCGAGATGGAACAGATGGAGATTAGTCCACACACACCACGTGGTAGAAGGGAGCGAGATGGAACAGATGGAGATTGGTCCACACACACACACACACACCACGTGGTATAAGGGAGCGAGATGGAACAGATGGAGATTAGTCCACACACACCACGTGGTAGAAGGGAGCGAGATGGAACAGATGGAGATTAGTGCACACACACCCACGTGGTAGAAGGGAGCGAGATGGAACAGATGGAGATTGGTCCACACGCTGTATTGGTCACGTGGTCGCGGTGGTGGGTAAAGTGAAGTTAACTCCCAGCCTCTCCCCGACTCTCCACTCCGCTGTAGCGGTCTCTAAGTGGCAGGCCGGGCTGTTGCCGGGCTGCGCCTCTATCTCGTCACGCTCGCCGAGAGAGAGAGAGAGAGGGGATGGAGGTGTTTGTTGACTTCTTCCTCCCGTCTTTGTCGCTCCACTTCCCTTTCCCGCAAACCACGACGGGGAGAGTGGGGAGAGAAGGTGGTTCACAATGGCCGTGTCATGAAATTCAAAGTGGATTCACGTCACAGATGTGCAGGGGGGTTTCCCTTCCTCCCCGTGTCTCTCTCTCTCTCTCTCCCCGTGTCTCTCTCTCCGTGTCTCTCTCTCTCTCCCCGTGTCTCTCTCTCTCCGTGTCTCTCTCTCCCCGTGTCTCTCTCTCCCCGTGTCTCTCTCTCCCCGTGTCTCTCTCTCCCCGTGTGTCTCTCTCTCCCCGTGTCTCTCTCTCCGTGTCTTTCTCTCTCCCCATGTCTCTCTCTCTCCGTGTCTCTCTCTCCCCGTCTCTCTCTCTCCCCGTGTCTCTCTCTCTCCGTGTCTCTCTCTCCGTGTCTCTCTCTCTCCGTGTCTCTCTCTCCCAGTCTCTCTCTCCGTGTCTCTCTCTCCGTGTCTCTCTCTCCCCGTCTCTCTCTCTCCCCGTGTCTCTCTCTCTCCCCGTGTCTCTCTCCCCGTGTCTCTCTCCCCGTGTCTCTCTCTCTCCCCGTGTCTCTCTCTTTCCCCGTGTCTCTCTCTCCCCGTGTCTCTCTTTCTCCCCGTGTCTCTCTCTCCGTGTGTCTCTCTCTCCCCGTGTCTCTCTCTCCGTGTCTCTCTCTCTCCGTGTCTCTCTCTCCGTGTCTCTCTCTCTCCGTGTCTCTCTCTCCCCGTCTCTCTCTCTCCGTGTCTCTCTCTCTCCGTGTCTCTCTCTCTCCGTGTCTCTCTCTCCCCGTCTCTCTCTCTCCCCGTGTGTCTCTCTCTCCCCGTGTCTCTCTCCCCGTGTCTCTCTCTCTCCCCGTGTCTCTCTCCCCGTGTCTCTCTCTCTCCACGTGTCTCTCTCTCCCCGTGTCTCTCTCTCTCCGTGTCTCTCTCTCCCCGTGTCTCTCTCTCTCCCCGTGTGTCTCTCTCTCCCCGTCTCTCTCTCTCTCTCTCCGTGTCTCTCTCCCCGTCTCTCTCTCTCTCTCCGTCTGTCTCTCTCCCCGTGTCTCTCTCCCCGTGTCTCTCTCTCTCTCCCCGTGTCTCTCTCTCCCCGTGTCTCTCTCCCCGTGTCTCTCTCCCCGTGTCTCTCTCTCTCCGTGTCTCTCTCTCTCCCCGTGTCTCTCTCTCTCTCCCCGTGTGTCTCTCTCTCCCCGTGTCTCTCTCTCCCCGTGTCTCTCTCCCCATGTCTCTCTCCCCGTGTCTCTCTCCCCATGTCTCTCTCCCCGTGTGTCTCTCTCCCCGTGTCTCTCTCTCCCCGTGTCTCTCTCCCCATGTCTCTCTCCCCGCGTCTCTCTCCGTGTTTCTCTCCCCGTGTCTCTCTCTCCCCGTGTCTCTCTCTCTCCCCGTCTCTCTCCCCGTGTCTCTCTCTCTCCCCGTGTCTCTCTCCCCGTGTCTCTCTCTTTCTCTCCGTGTCTCTCTCCCGGTGTCTCTCTCTCCCCGTGTCTCTCTCTCCCCGTGTCTCTCTCCCCGTGTCTCTCTCCCCGTCTCTCTCTCCCCGTCTCTCTCTCCCCGTGTCTCTCTCTCTCCCCGTGTCTCTCTCCCCGTGTCTCTCTTTTTCTCTCCGTGTCTCTCTCTCCCCGTGTCTCTCTCTCACCGTGTCTCTCTCTCTCCCCGTGTCTCTCTCTCCCCGTGTCTCTCTCTCCCCGTGTCTCTCTCCCCGTGTCTCTCTCTCTCCCCGTGTCTCTCTCTCTCCCCGTGTCTCTCTCTCCCCGTGTCTCTCTCTCTCTCTCCCCGTGTTTCTCTCTTCCCGTGTCTCTCTCCCCGGTTCTCTCTCTCCCCGTGTCTCTCTCTCCCTGTGTCTCTCTCCCCGTCTCTCTCTCTCTCCCCGTGTCTCTCTCCCCGTCTCTCTCCCCGTGTCTCTCTCTCCCCATCTCTCTCCCCATGTCTCTCTCTCCCCGTGTCTCTCTCTCTCTCCCCGTGTCTCTCTCTCCCCGTGTCTCTCTCTCCCCATGTCTCTCTCTCCCCGTGTCTCTCTCCCCATGTCTCTCTCCCCGTGTCTCTCTCTCCCCGTGTCTTTCTCCCCATGTCTCTCTCCCCGTGTCTCTCTCCGTGTTTCTCTCCCCGTGTCTCTCTCTCCCCGTGTCTCTCTCTCCCCGTCTCTCTCTCCGTGTTTCTCTCCCCGTATCTCTCTCCCCGTGTCTCTCTCTCCCAGTGTCTCTCTCCCCGTCTCTCTCTCCCCGTCTCTCTCCCCGTGTCTCTCTCTCTCCCCGTGTCTCTCTCCCCGTGTCTCTCTCTCTCTCTCCGTGTCTCTCTCCCGGTGTCTCTCTCTCCCCGTGTCTCTCTCCCCGTGTCTCTCTCTTTCTCTCCGTGTTTCTCTCCCGGTGTCTCTCTCTCCCCGTGTCTCTCTCTCCCCGTGTCTCTCTCTCTCTCAGTCGGTTCCCAGGTGGCCCCGTCACTCGTTTCACGTCCGTGTCCCATCATTATCTGCGTGATTGCGGTAGAGCGGCGGTGCAGTGTCATTACTGAAACTTTTTTTTTTAAAACACACACGCAGAATTTTACATGTACCAGGTATAAAGCTCTATCCTTTGCCTCGTTCGGTAACAGTCACGTAGGACAAAATGATTGACAAAAAAATGCCCACGATCTTTCCAACTCAACACAAGCAATCGCCATCAGTACGACGTGCTCTTCTTACCCAATACCCAAGGAATTTGACTTCCTGCAGTCAAGTCAAGATCTCCGTGGTTCTTGTTCAGATGCCCTGGCCTGGCCCATCAACATCCTGATAGCGGCAGATCCAAGTGGCTGACATCATCACCGCTATCAACATCGCCTGGGAATGTATAGCAGCAGCCATTCGTTCTAAACTGCGTTTTTTTATATATATAAAGACTCCGAACTACCACAGCTCGCCGCGAATGTGATCGTTCAGCAGTTTTGTCGATTGATGTAGACATTGGGGTTTTCCCTCTGTTTTTTTTTCCACTGGCAACGAAGCTTAAAAAATTATGCCGAGGATTCATGCTTACTGCATTAACCACGATACTTGCGGTCAAAATGCAAAGAAAAACCACACTATGATAATATAATATGATGATGCATTGTCCTCGAAACTGATTGGTCCACACCAAGGGACGGCTTTCTTTTAGAGCCTCGAGCACCAATTGGTGCTCGACCAGATGACGCCAGAAGGCGTTCAACGCAGCTCAGAGACAATGCCGCTATCAAAGTAATGAGGGCTCGGGGTGAGCATCTACATCATCATTAGACCTACTTTGCCAGTACCAAAATGTAATAATAGGGTTTTTCCCCTTTTTCCTGGCAAGAAAACTGAAACCTTTTTTTCACAAGGATTCACGGCTACTGCATTAACCACAATACCTGCAGTCAAAATGCAAACAAAAACCACACTATGATAATACATGACGATGCATTGTCCTTGAAACTGATTGGTCCACACCAAGTGACGGCTTTCTTTTTGAGCCTCGACCACTAATTGGTGCTCGACCAGATGACGCCAAAAGGCGTTTAACGCAGCTCAGAGACAATGCCGCTAGCAAAGTAATGAGGGCTCGGGGTGAGCATCTACATCATCATTAGAGGTCTAATGATGATGTAGATGCTCACCCCGAGCCCTCATTACTTTGCTAGCGGCATTGTCTTTGAGCTGTGTGACGCCTTCTGGCGTCATCTGGTCGAGCACCAATTGGTGCTCGAGGCTCCAAAAGAAATCCGTCCCTTTGATGAGAGAATTATTTTGCCTCGGGTGGTGGTGGTGGGAATCAGGTTTCAAGTAGGAATCTGTGTGCATTGTCCTTGAAACTGATTGGTCCACACCAAGGGACGGCTGTCTTTTGGAGCCTCGATCACCAATTGGTGCTCGACCAGATGACGCCAAAAGGCGTTTAACACAGCTCAGAGACAATGCCGCTAGCAAAGTGGCGAGGGCTCGGGGTGAGCATCTACATCATCATTAGACCTCCCTTTGCCAGTACCAAAATGTAATAATAATAATAGGGTTTTTCCCCTTTTTCCTGGCAAGAAAACTTAAACCTTTTTACAAGGATTCACGGCTACTGCATTAACCACAATACCTGCAGTCAAAATGCAAACAAAAACCACACTATGATCATATATGATGATGCATTGTCCTTGAAACTGATTGGTCCACACCAAGGGACGGCTTCTTTTTTGGAGCCTCGACCACCAATTGGTGCTCGACCAGATGACACCAAAAGGCGTTCACACAGCTCAAAGACAATGCCGCTAGCAAAGTATTCAGGGCTTGGGGTGAGCATCTACATCATTAGACCTCTAATGATGTAGACCTCTAATGATGATGTAGATGCTCACCCCGAGCCCTCATTACTTTGCTAGCGGCATTGTCTTTGAGCTGTGTGACGCCTTCTGGCGTCATCTGGTCGAGCACCAATTGGTGCTCGAGGCTCCAAAAGAAATCCGTCCCTTTGATGAGAGAATTCTTTTGCGTCGGGTGGTGGTGGGAATCAGGCTTCAAGTAGGAATCCTTGAAACTGATTGGTCCACACCAAGGGACGGCTTTCTTTTGAGCCTCGAGCACCAATTGGTGCTCGACCAGATGACGCCAGAAGGCGTTCAACGCAGCTCAGAGACAATGCCGCTATCAAAGTAGCGAGGGCTCGGGGTGAGCATCTACATCATCATTAGACCTACTTTGCCAGTACCAAAATGTAATAATAGGGTTTTTCCCCTTTTTTCTGGCAAGAAAACTGAAACCTTTTTACAAGGATTCACGGCTACTGCATTAACCACAATACCTGCAGTCAAAATGCAAACAAAAACCACACTATGATAATATAATATGACGATGCATTGTCCTCGAAACTGATTGGTCCACACCAAGGGACCCAATTGGTGCTCGACCAGATGACGCCAGAAGGCGTTCAACGCAGCTCAGAGACGATGCCGCTAGCAAAGTAGCGAGGGCTCGGGGTGAGCATCTCCATCATCATTGGACCTCCCGCAACATGGTTGGATGATTGACAATGCGCCGCTCCAATTGTCTCGAGCCACTCCTGACTCTGCTTGGCCAACCATCGCTCGCTCTCCGTTCCTTAGCCTGTCGGCGCCTTTCTTTGTCCTTCGTCGGTACTTGGTTCACTGGAAGTGAGAACGATCTTTCAGTTGCATTATGAAGGCAATGAGAGAGAGAGAGATAGATAGAAGAGTGGGCCGTCTCTCCATCGCCTCTCATCGCTCTCCTCTCTCTCTCGCTCGCTCGCTCTCGCAAGCGTTCATCATATGCATCGTACAAGGATAGATCAAGTCGAGTGTGCTCACCAACGTAATCGAACGTCTGCCCCTTGCGACCTGTTCATTGCGACAGCGTGCCCCGGCGAAGAATGGGAAATCGTCGCCAATCAAACGGCAAAGTGGTGTCGGTGGGGGCCAAGTCGATTCTGGGAATCGACACAGAATCGCCTCGTTCTGCAGATCGATTCCAACGTGCGCCTCCATCGATCAAAGCTCCACGCTCCTCCATCGATCAAACTCCACGCGGCTCCATCGATCAAACTCCACGCGGCTCCATCGATCAAACTCCACGCTCCTCCATCGATCAAACTCCACGCGCCTCCCATGCATGGAAATGATGGGAAGTCCGGCGTTCGTCACAGATAAAGCTCGGCGTTTATATGTGTATATATAAGAGTAGGGGTTTATATTGTGTAATATATCTCTCTCTCTCTCTCTCCGTCTCAGGGCCACGCTGCAGACCCTTCAGACCGTCTGCCTGGACCCGCTCTCGCCTCGCATTCAGAGACTCGTCCGCTCCCGCAAGGTCAGTTGGGTGGGTGGGTTGGTGGGTGAGTGAGTTGGTGGGTGGGTGTGGGGTGGGTGGGTGGGTGAGTGAGTTGGTGGGTGGGTGAGTTGGTGGGTGGTTGGGTGAGTTGGTGGGTGGGTGGGTGGGTGAGTGGGTTGGTGGGTGGGTGAGTTGGTGGGTGGGTGGGTGAGTTGGTGAGTGGGTGGGTGAGTTGGTGGGTGGGTGGGTGAGTGAGTTGGTGGGTGGGTGGGTGAGTTGGTGGGTGGGTGGGTGAGTGAGTTGGTGGGTGGGTGAGTGGGTTGGTGGGTGGGTGAGTTGGTGGGTGGGTGAGATGGTGGGTGGGTGGGTGAGTTGGTGGGTGGGTGGGTGAGTGAGTGAGTGGGTGAGTTGGTGGGTGAGTGAGTTGGTGGGTGGGTTGGTGGGTGGGTGGGTGAGTTGGTGGGTGGGTGAGTTGGTGGGTGGGTGGGTGAGTTGGTGGGTGGGTGGGTGAGTTGGTGGGTGGGTGAGTGAGTTGGTGGGTGGGTGGGTGGGTGAGTGAGTTGGTGGGTGGGTGAGTGAGTGAGTGTTGGTTGGTTGGGTGAGTGGGCGGGTGGGTGAGTGAACGGGGGTGTGGGTGGATGGATGAGTGAGTGGATGGGTGAGTGGGTGAGTATGTCAGTGAGTGGGTGGGTGGGTGAGTGGATGGGTAGGTCAATGAGTGGGTCGGTGAGTGGGTGAGTGGATGGGTGGCATTGTGGATGGGTGAGTGGGTGAGTGGATGGGTGGCATTGTGGATGGGTGAGTGGGTGAGTGGGTGGATGGGTGAGTGAGTGGATGGGTGAGTGGATGGATGGGTGAGTGGGTGGGTGAATGAGTGGATGGGTGAGTGGATGGGTGAGTGGGTGAGTGGATGGGTGAGTGGGTGGATGGGTGGGTGAGTGAGTGGATGGGTGAGTGGGTGGCTGGGTGAGTGGATGGGTGAGTGGATGGATGAGTGGGTGAGTGGATGGGTGAGTGGGTGGATGGGTGGGTGAATGAGTGGATGGGTGAATGGATGGGTGGGTGAGTGAATGGATGGGTGCGTGGATGGGTGAGTGGATGGGTGAGTGGATGGGTGAGTGGATGGGTGAGTGGATGGGTGATTGGATGGATGAGTGGATGGGTGAATGGATGGGTGGGTGAGTGAATGGATGGGTGCGTGGATGGGTGAGTGGATGGGTGAGTGGATGGGTGAGTGGATGGGTGAGTGGATGGGTGAGTGGATGGGTGAGTGGATGGGTGAGTGAGTGAGTGGATGGGTGAGTGGATGGGTGAGTGGATGGGTGAGTGGGTGAGTGGATGGGTGAGAGGGTGGATGGGTGAATGGATGGGTGAGTGGATGGGTGAGTGGGTGGATGGGTAGGTGAGTGAGTGGATGGGTGAGTGAGTGGATGGGTGAGTGGGTGAGTGGATTGGTGAGTGAGTGGATGGGTGAGTGGTTGGGTGGGTGAGTGAGTGGATGGGTGCGTGGATGGGTGAGTGGGTGAGTGGGTGAGTGGATGGGTGAGTGGATGGGTGAATCAATGGGTGAGTGAGTGCATGGGTGAGTGGGTGAGTGGATGGGTGAGTGAGGGGATGGGTGAGTGGTTGGGTGGGTGAGTGAGTGGATGGGTGAGTGGATGGGTGAGTGGATGAGTTGATGGGTGAGAGGGTGGATGGGTGAGTGGATGGGTGAGTGGATGGATGAGTGGATGGATGAGTGGATGGGTGAGTGGATGGGTGAGTGAGTGGGTGGGTGAGTGGGTGAGTGAGTGGATGGGTGAGTGGATGGGTGAGTGGATGGGTGAGTGGATGGATGAGTGGATGAGTGAGTGGATGGGTGAGTGGATGGGTGAGTGAGTGGATGGGTGAGTGGATGGGTGAGTGAGTGGATGGGTGAGTGGATGGGTGAGTAGATTGATGGGTGAGTGGGTGGATGGGTGAGTGGATGGGTGAGTGGATGGGTGAGTGAGTGGATGGGTGAGTGGATGGGTGAGTGGATGGGTGAGTGAGTGGATGGGTGAGTGGGTGAGTGGATGTGTGAGTGGGTGAGTGAATGGGTGAGTGGATGGGTGAGTGGGTGAGTGGATGGGTGAGTGAGTGGATGGGTGAGTGGGTGGATGAGTGGATGGGTGAATGGATGAGTGGATGGGTGAGTGGATGGGTGAGTGGATGTGTGAGTGGGTGAGTGGATGGGTTAGTGAGTGGATGGGTGAGTGGATGGATGAGTGAATGGGTGAGTGGGTGAGTGGATGGGTGAGTGGATCGGTGAGTGGGTGAGTGGATGGGTGAGTGGATGGGTGAGTGAGTGGATGGGTGAGTGGGTGGATGAGTGGATGGGTGAATGTGTGAGTGGATGAGTGAGTGGATCGGTGAGTGGATGGGTGAGTGGGTGGATGGGTGAGTGGATGGGTGAGTGGATGGGTGAGTGAGTGGATGGGTGAGTGGATGGGTGAGTGGATGGGTGAGTGGATGGGTGAGTGGATGGGTGAGTGGATGGGTGAGTGGGTGCATGGGTGGGTGAGTGTATGGATGAGTGGATGGGTGAGTGAGTGGATGAGTGAGTGGATGGGTGAGTGGATGGGTGAGTGAGTGGATGGGTGAGTGGGTGAGTGGGTGGGTGAGTGGATGGGTGAGTGAGTGGATGGTTGAGTGAGTGGATGGGTGAGTGGATGGGTGAGTGGATGAGTGAGTGGATGAGTGAGTGGATGGGTGAGTGGGTGGATGGGTGAGTTGATGGTTGAGTGGATGGGTCAGTGAGTGGATGGGTGAGTGAGTGGGTGAGTGGATGGGTGAGTGGATGGGTGAGTGGATGGGTGAGTGAGTGGATGGGTGAGTGAGTGGATGGGTGAGTGGGTAGATGGGTGAGTGCATGGGTGAGTGGATGGGTGAGTGAGTGGATGGGTGAGTGGATGGGTGAGTAGATGAGTGAGTGGGTAGTGAGTGGATGGGTGAGTGGATGGGTGAGTGAGTGGATGGGTGAGTGGATCGGTGAGTGGATGGGTGAATGGATGGATGAGTGAATGGCTGAGTGAGTGGATGGGTGAGTGAGTGGATGGGTGAGTGGGCGAGTGGGTGGGTGAGTGGATGGGTGAGTGGATGGGTGAGTGAGTGGATGGTTGAGTGAGTGGATGGGTGAGTGGATGGGTGAGTGGATGGGTGAGTGGATGAGTGAGTGGATGGGTGAGTGGGTGGATGGGTGAGTGGATGGGTGAGTGAGTGGGTGAGTGGATGGGTGAGTGGATGGGTGAGTGGATGGATGAGTGAATGGGTGAGTGAGTGAGTGGATGGGTGAGTGGGTAGATGGGTGAGTGCATGGGTGAGTGGATGGGTGAGTGAGTGGATGGGTGAGTGGATGGGTGAGTGGATGGGTGAGTGGATGGGTGAGTAGATGAGTGAGTGGATGGGTGAGTGGATGGGTGAGTGAGTGGATGGATGAGTGGATGGGTGAGTGAGTGGATGGGTGAGTGGATGGGTGAGTAGATGAGTGAGTGGGTAGTGAGTGGATGGGTGAGTGGATGGGTGAGTGAGTGGATGGGTGAGTGGATCGGTGAGTGGATGGGTGAATGGATGGATGAGTGAATGGCTGAGTGAGTGGATGGGTGAGTGAGTGGATGGGTGAGTGGGTGAGTGGGTGGGTGAGTGGATGGGTGAGTGGATGGGTGAGTGAGTGGATGGTTGAGTGAGTGGATGGGTGAGTGGATGGGTGAGTGGATGGGTGAGTGGATGAGTGAGTGGATGGGTGAGTGGGTGGATGGGTGAGTGGATGGGTCAGTGAGTGGATGGGTGAGTGAGTGGGTGAGTGGATGGGTGAGTGGATGGGTGAGTGGATGGATGAGTGAATGGGTGAGTGAGTGGATGGGTGAGTGGATGGGTGAGTGGGTAGATGGGTGAGTGGGTAGATGGGTGAGTGGATGGGTGAGTGAGTGGATGGGTGAGTGGATGGGTGAGTGGATGGGTGAGTGGATGGGTGAGTAGATGAGTGAGTGGATGGGTGAGTGGATGGGTGAGTGAGTGGATGGATGAGTGGGTGTTATACCACCCCTAATACCACGTAACCCTCTCCTCGGCCCCCCTCCCACTCCTTTTCTTCACGTGACAGAATCTGCCCGCGTGCGCCATCCGTGCGATGACGTCATCGAGGAGTTAGGCTGGGTGGGCGTGGAGGGCGGGGCGAGCGGGGCGTGACGTCACATGAGCAGTGGGGGGGGGGGAGGTGTCACGTCAGACGAGGAGGAGCAGTGTGGCGTGACGTCCCAGGAGGAGGAGCAGTGTGGCGTGACGTCACAGGAGAAAATGGCGCAGTGAGGCGTGACGTCACAGCGTTGCCGGTTCAAAGCTGTGACGTGGGGTGGTGGTGGTGGTGGAGGGGGCGAGCTGATTGGACTAGGATAAGAATGAGAAATTAAATATTTATTTTAGACGACTTGAGGAGAAATCCGATGAGCTGTGAAGCTCTCTGTTCACAGACGGGTCCAGGAGGAGAAACACGGAGTAGTCAGAACGTTACAACAACAAACACGGCACTACACAAGCACCATAGGAGGTGTGCAACAGTTTAGAAAATGTAAACAAATCTCTTAACAACAACAACACCACGCACAAATAAACCTGCATCTATTTTTTTGCTTTGTTATCCCACTGAGCTCTTTCCTTCTTGAGAAAAAGGGTTACGTGGTGCTAGGGGTGAATATCAGCCACCCACTCACACATCCATTCACCGATCCATCCACTAACTCACCCAATCACCCACCCACTCACCCACCCACTCACTCACCCACCCACTCACCCAACGACTCACTCACCCATCCATTCACCGACCGATCCACTAACTCACCCAATCACCCACCCACCCACTCACCCACCCACTCACTCACCCACTGACCCACTCACCCATCCACGCACCCACTCACCCATCCATTCACCGATCCATCCACTAACTCACCCACCCACTCACTCACCAGCCCACTCAATCACCCACTGACTCACTCACCCATCTACTCATCTATTCACTCACCCACCCACTCACCCACTGACTCACTCACCCACCCACTCACCCACCCACCCACCCATTCACCCACCCACTCACCCACCCACCCACTCACCCACCCACTCACCCACCAACTCACTCACCCACCGACTCACTCACCCATCCACGCACCCACCCACCCACTCACCCACCCACTCACCCACCGACTCACTCACCCACTCACCCACTCACTCACCAACCCACCCACTCACCCACCCACTCACCCACCGACTCACTCACCCACTCACCCACCCACCCACTCACCCATCGACTCACTCACCCACTTACCCACTCACCCATCCACGCACCCACTCACCCATCCATTCACCGATCCATCCACTAACTCACCCACCCACTCACTCACCAGCCCACTCAATCACCCACTGACTCACTCACCCATCTACTCATCCACTAACTAACCCACTCACCCACCTACTCACCCACCGATTCACTCACCCACCCACTCATCCACTCACTCACCCAATCACCCACCCACTCAATCATCCACCCACTCACTCACCCACCCACTCCCCGACTCACTCACCCACCCACTCACCGACTCACCCACCCACTCACCCACTTACCCACCCACTCACCCACCCACTCACCGACTCACTCACCCACCCACTCACCGACTCCATTACCCACCCACTCACCCACTTACCCACCCACTCACCAACCCACCCACCCACTCACCCACTTACCCACCGACTCACCGACTCCATTACCCACCCACTCACCCACCCACTCACCCACCCACCCACTCACCCCACTCACCCACCCACTCACCCACCCACGCACCGATCCATTCTTGAGAAGCAAGCGACCTGGCCACCAGAATGAGACTCGGTAATAATACTGCAGCTACATCATCATCAGCAGCAGGAGTTCGATGAGCTGTGGGGTTCTTGTTCGCCTACTGTGGTCGGACGTTGCAGCCAGGCAGATATCCAGTCTCGACACACGGCGGGCAGAACGCCACAACAACAATCACGATATTAAATAGTGCAACGGTATAGGAAGGTAAAGATTAGATACGTGCAAATAAAACTGCTACTATTAGTTTTTTTCTCTTAACTTTACAAGTTTAAGGCACCCATTGAGCTATCAAATTATTATTAATTTTTTTTTTAATCGAGAATCGACCTCGCCGCTGGGAACTCAACAAAGTGGCCCCCTTCAATCACGTTGGAAATGTACAGCGGCGAAATAAGCGAATTGATCTCAAAGCGAGAGGGCCCTCTGTGGTGGAAGAGGCTGCTTGGCAGTGCCAGGCTAGGTGCACCTTGAGGCCACTGGACAGTTGGAGGCAGTCGCCCTCCAACAACAGCGGAGGGCAGAGGAGCGACGCTCACAACAACGAGCGGAGGTTGGGTGGATAAACTGCTGCAAGTTGGCACAGTAGGGGGCACTGGTGGTGCATCAGCCAGTCATCTCAGGCGACCCACAGCACCTGCTGGGTCTGTCCCGTGACCTCCTCGTGCACCTAGCCTGGCACAGCAGTCAACCCACGGCACCTGCTGGGTCTGTCCCGTGACCTCCTCCTCGTGCACCTAGCCTGGCACAGCAGTCAACCCACGGCACCTGCTGGGTCTGTCCCGTGACCTCCTCCTCGTGCACCTAGCCTGGCACAGCAGCAGTAAACCCATGGCACCTGCAGGGTCTGTCCCGTGACCTCTTCCTTGTGCACCTAGCCTGGCACAGCAGCAGTAAACCCATGGCACCTGCAGGGTCTGTCCCGTGACCTCCTCCTCGTGCACCTAGCCTGGCACAGCAGTCAGCAGGAGCGAGCCTTCGCGACACTTCACCTGGCCTCGGAGTGCACCTAGCCTGGCACAAGCGTCGTGGCGACGACAAGTTACGAGGCTGACGCCATCGTGAGCACAGGCCACGCCCCATCGG